CATCACCTGCTGCTTGTGCCGAAGCATTGTTGTCAGTAATCGTTTGCAATTCTGATGCTAAATATGCATCCAGATTTAATGAGAACAAACAATTAGTCCTTCAGTTCAGCCCAGCGACACAAAGGACCATACATGTGGTAATACTCCGGCTAACATTCTGCAATCAGGCAACCACATGGGGTGTCGGGGGAGCAATACTTTTTAGTATTTGTGCCGTGAGTGTACGTCAATTACCAGCAGGGTCCTACTCTAACATGGGGGCCGACCATTTTTCTTGGCTTCAGAACCACAAGAGCGAGGAGAAAGCGCGAGGAAGCCGAACTGCGACATGTTATAATGTTCCCTGTCAGGGCTTCTCCGTCAGGATAAGGATGAGGTCAAAGGTGCAATCGAAGGAGTCCATCAAAGGCGAAGCATGCTCAAAGTCATCTGTGCAGAGTTATCTGCGGTGAGGTGAAAGCAGCTTGCTCAGTCAGGAGGCCTAATCAGATTTCAAAGCAAACACTTGAAGGCAGAGTCCAAACATCGCCCGCTAATTGCATCTGCCTTCGTTTTCCTGCAACTCACTGTACAACACCAACAGAACAGGGGGTCCCAGTGGAACAGGAACTGTTTTCAAAAACCGCAGGGAGCACCTCAGCGTTACCTCAATTCCTGCACCACAACTGTTCACTTTGGAGATTGCCAACCCTGATTGCTTCTGTCAGAAATCAAAATATAACGTCTGTGAGGTATTTCTTCTGGAATATCTCTTTTTCTTTTTCTTCTCCTTCTTCGTGTTCTTCATACGTGGAGACTGAAAAGGAAAATATATACGTGTTCACCCCGGGTGCCATATGTTGGGGTTTCTAGAGCATGGAAATCTGGAAAAGAGCGAGTCAAGTAGCAAAGTTTGTGTGTTCAGATGACTACAAGTGATCTGCCGTAATGTGACATTTATATGTAAGGGAGCTGCAACAAGTTAAACAAGCATTTCATAGTTCCCGATACATGCACTCATTATGGGCATGGATATTTTATTATGTAGGACTTTCAGAGACTCGTTTGAATCATTCATTATTAAGAGATAAATAAAATCCGTAGCCTCAATGCTAGCTTGTTTTGCATGTTCCAGTTTTTATGTGGGTTCGGGTCATTCTCCTGTTGGAACGTCCAACTGTGTCCAAGTTCCATTTTACTTTTATGTCTGAAAGCCTCACCTAGACTTCTCCAGACAACATTGCTATTGTGGCTATCGCTCAGTTTTACTACTAAACTATTTTGCCAGATGATGTTTGACTCTTTTGGTAGAGGCAGCTGTAAATTTCATTTGAGGGTGTTGGTTTTGGAGCGGGAACTTCTTTCTTGGTTGTCACCCTCTTGGTCCAAAGTGATGTTTAACTACTTTCACCACTAACAGTAACAATGGTGTTCCAGAACCTTTCAGTTCATGGTAAGCTTAAATTGTAATTGTTCCTGGGTTTGTCTTGAACATCCTAACCAATTTTTCTTCCTCTGAGGTTGACAGTTGAGGTCAGACAATTGACACTTTGGGGGGAAAAACCGAATGTATTATGAACTTTGTTCAAAAGCTCAATCCAGCACAATACACCTCATTCAATTTAAAGAAGCTCCATCAGTTGTGACAGGAAGAGTGGTCAATTATGGACTTAAACTGATGCAAAGATGTTAGCTGACACCGATAGCTATGAAAAAGTATTATTTTTTTCTGCATCTTGCTAATGAAGTATTAGGTAAAGTATACACATCTCTATTAACTTTAAAATAAATATTTTCAAACCATTTTTCAAATGCTATAATGCAACATTTATAATTTATTATTCACATGAAAAACAAATTAACCTTAAAAAGGTGAAACAACCAAGTGTCATGATCCGTGGTTTTCTGTGTGTTTTTGAGTTTTTCAATGTGTTCGTGTTTCCCTGTGAGTCTCTGTCCTGTCCTCCCCGTTGATTGCTCCCCAGGTGTGTCTCGTTCCCTTAATTACCCCGTGTGTATTTAAACCCACCTGTTGTCTGTGTTCCTCGTCGGGTCCTTGTCAATTGTCAAACGTTTGCAGTCTGCGTCTGTCTGTCCGTCTTCCCAGTTGTACTGGTTAAGTCCTGTGTCGACGTCAGTTCCAGTTGATTTAGTCTTCGTTGTCAGTTGCTACCGGTGCTTAGCTGCGTGCTAGTTGTTCCTGCCGTGCTGCCTGATTTGGACTATGTGAACTACATTCATCATTAAATTCATCTTCACCATAACCTGGGTTCTCTGCGTCATCTCCTCACCACTTCAACCCCACCTTATGACACCAAGTTGACCAAAGGGTTTGCATTCTTAGGCTTTCAGTAAAAGCCTAAGAATGCTTTAAATTTAATTTCATTTATGGTTGTTTTTTTTCTTAACTTGACAACAATGCAGACATTCTCTAAGTTTATCATATTGTTCACAGCCCTCTTCAGGTGAACTGTCAGATTCGCTGTTGTATTTTCTTCGGAGTTATTCGGAAAGTTTGATTTCTCTCTCCTGGAGTCATCCTCCTGCTGATTTGGATGTATGGTTGGACTCAAAGGGAGACTTAAATTTTAAATATTTCTTTATTTTTTTTTTTAGCTTTTGGTTTTAAGCCAAATCGGACTGGTATCTGAAACATGTGATTGTGATTAGCTCTGAGTTTGAAACTCCAGTTCCATCACAGCATCATCCTGCCAATACTACGTTTCACAGTGGGTCCAGCACAGAATCAGTCATGACTAATCGGTCGGAAAGTTACAAAAATGCATCATAGCTAGAAGAAAAAAAACATCCCAGCCCAAAATCACCACTGACCCAGCAGACAAGTGCCCTGTATGCCCGACTTCCAGTCCAGATGTGGGTTCAGAGTACTTTTGGGGTTCAGTGTTGATTTTGTTTTGAAACATACGAGCTCTTCCACAAAGTTAGAATATGGCAAATTGTTGTTGCATGTAAAACACAAAAACTTCTGTAAACATTGCTGACAGGCTATGTAAACCAAATGAAAATTCAACTGGAACAGCTTTATTACTGGTTAACCAGACTCAATGTGGATATGTCAAGAAGACTGAATACTGAAGCTAAATTAAATGTGTTTCAGCAATATATTTGTACGAGGGTGCGCACATTTATACATTACTGCACCCTCCCTCCCCCAGCTTAGTTCTTATTTTTCAGTTGTATTGAAAGGAACATATGTCAGACTATATGTGGGAAAAGGTTTAGTTACATCACAAAAACTCTCATTTCAAAAGAGCATGGTAGACCTTGGAGAGCCGCCGTATCTGAACTAATATGTATAATTTTTAACATGTGTGGATCGGAGAAAATCAGCAGTGTATTCGGAAGCCAAATGGTTGTCCTTAGAAATAACTGAAATAGTTTATTTTTTATTCATTTTTCCACACAGAAATAAAAAGAAATGCATGTTCAAATGCCATGTTTGAAAGCCCCTAACTAATATGATTTTCATTCCCATGATGTGAGTATATGCAAACCTCTCAACTGTACTGTGTGTCAAGAGGATATTTTTCACCACCACAGCATCCAGCTGCATCTCAAAGTTATGAGCAGTGTATTCGCATATGGCTCTCACCCTCATCTCTCGAAATCCCAAGAGGCTCACCCGCTGCATGGTGTTTATTGCAGGTCATTATTAGGGCCCTGGCCCTCACCAGCACCTTGGCAGACAGAGGAAGCCCTCCACCCCAGAGGACAGAGTGTGATTGTTTTAATGTGGCCGCTTTGGTATTTGGTGCTCCAGCAGAAACCCCAACCACATATCAACCGACTGCCATGTGCAGACTTGAAAATTACAAGAACACCAATTGCCAGAGCTGAGCGTAACTTAAACTGTACACGGTGTTATTATTTGTATCCCTGGAAGGGATGATGACATTTCTCCTGCCAGCTTGCACTTGCCCATTACTGATGATGTCAGGCTGTTTTAGCGTATCAGTGTACCTAAGAGCATCTCTTCATTGCCCTTGTTGCCCTTTCTTGGAGGAATATCAACAAAGCATGTAACAGAAGGCTGTGTGCAGTGAGCAGCAGTGGATATGACATTACATCTCTGAAATGTCCTTTGTAAGCAGGTTTGTACAGACTACACATCAACAAGTGTGTAATGTGGTAAGGGAAAAGAGTGTAAGCAAGCATTCGCAGTAAAGGAATGAGATTCACAGAGGGTCCTCTGGGAATTTGGGATAAAATGGCAAATGTGCTTGAAAAGCAGTTCTCAGATTTTCCAGGGAAAAAAAAAAGTCATGGCATAGGCGGACCTTGTTATCCAATACTTTGATAAAGATTTGTATAAAAATTGATATGGGATACAGCCTCCTGGTAATCATGCTGCACTTTGCTGACTCCTATACAGTTACACACGTTTAGGTTTACACTGCATAGGACAAGCTCAAATTGGGCTTGAAAGTCATTAGGAAATTACGTGCTCACCATGTTTACAGCTGAAAGTACTTTTTTGTGATGTAAAATATATGGTTGCAAAATAGAATGTATTTCTTTTGTTGTTGTCACACTCACATATTTAAGATCTGCAAATTCTCCCCTCACTAAGTCATGAATTAACGGTAATTAACATACATCTTGTGAAAAGCCGTGTTCAGTCTCAAATTTGGTAACTACAAAGTGAAGTTTTTGAGTTCTCTCGATGCATCTTAAATAAAATAATTCTACAAAGAAGAGTGAATAAAAATGTCCATACAGCTCCTTATAAATTATTATTATTATTATTATTATTATTATTATTATTATTATTATTATTATTATTATTATTATTATTATTATTATTATTTTATCTTAATAAATTATAAAATATTGTGTTTAATTTACGTGTTTAAATTTTATTCTAGATATCCTACTATGTGCATGTTTGTACTATGTACTATGTTTGTGTCAATAGCAGCGAAAATATCTGTAAGGAGGCAAATAGTTTTTAAGCACTACAGTATATGTTAAAAAACTTTATTTTTGTTCAGGCACGCCTCCAGTCGGCATTTTTCTGACGTAGCAGTGGCGTATGTTGTCATATGAGGGGGTAAAAAGATGGCGTCTTTGTCAGAAATGTACGACGTGGGGTGGGAAGGTAAAAATACATTTTCTTTGTTCTTACGCAGTGGCATGCTCTCATATGCCTTTTAAGCTGTCTGATTTTCTCGCTTTATAGTACAACGTTTGGTCCTCGCTGTTAAATTGATAAATTTACACGGAATTACGTCTGTGAAGAACTGAGCAAATGCTAATTAGCTCACAGTGCTAACCTGTCAACTTAGCGGACACACTGTCACCAAAACGAGCTTAGCTTCTCCTCAGTGGTTTTCAATTGATAAACTGTGTAGCGCATTTATACAGTTTAGAGGTTGTAGCTTGTCTGAACGAGAACGACTCGTAAATGTAAAAGTATGTCATTAATGGTTACGGCTAACAATATGCTAACTCTTTATTGGTGTACAGGAAAAATAACTGTAACGTAACGTCAGCGATGTTACTTATCCTCTTAAGCTTCACTGGTCATGTGAGGTGCATGTTATATAGGTATAGTTTCATAGTCAACATTGTTCAGGTTTATTTTATGTACTTTATATGAAAGATGTGCGGCTGAAAATGCCTAGCAGTCATTGCTACATGAGCAAATTCGTACTGTGCAAAATACCAAAATGACCAGATTACACATATTCAAGTGTGCATGTGCTTAATAACCGAGTAACGATGGAAATTATAATTGATTTTATGTGATTGAATATCTGTTTGTACAGAGATGAGAGACAAGCTGCGTAAATGGAGAGAAGACAACTGCAGAAATAGTGAACAGATAGTGGATGTTGGTGAAGAGCTCATCAGTGAACATGCATCAAAACTGGGGGATGACGGTAAGTAGTTTTTTTTTTCTCAACTAAAAACATGCTTATATTAATTATTTTATTTTTCTTGTGGAGAAGAACAAGCAGAACTTTATAAGAAAAACGAGTGCCTGTTTAATGGTAATGGTAACCTTAAAATTCAAGTAGATGTTACACTTGAAGAAGATGATGTCTTTTAAGTGACAGTCATGAATTTGTTTAATGTTGAAATAACACAATTGTTCAGTTTAAAGGCAAGAATGTGGTTGTAAAGATTCTTTAAAAAATTAAAAAGAAAAAAGAAAAATACCAATCGCAGAAAAAAGTCAACAACCATTACATTGGTGGTGGTGAATTAGTTTTACAGATATGATCACATTATGTTTGTTTAGCTTTACTGAGAACATCAGCCATGTTTTATTTTTTTTCAGGTCAAGATTTTTTAGAAAAATCAGGAATTGAAATATACTTTAGTCACAAATAGGGATATAAACAACAGGTCTTTATGAAATAGATTTTTTTAAAGTTGTGTTAGACTGAAGTAAAACTTGGCATGAATTAACACCTGCTAAATTTAGGATTTTGTAACTAAATCTTATCTAAGTCTTATCGCTTCTTGCTATTCTATTCACAGAGGTAACACTGAAAAATAAGACTGTCTGATTCTGATGTCTGGGTTTTTACCTGTTCTCACAAATTTTAACCATCTCTTATGTGTCTTGTTAAGATCTTATATTACCAACCAATTAGCAATTAGTACCTGTAAGTAGCAGTTTTATGTATATTCTTGAGGGAATGTATATTTTTACTTGGTTAGCTCTTTATTTTCTTTAAAGAAATCTTAATACAAGAAGCTTATTGGTTAAGTCTAAACTTTTTTTGCCTTCCCGTTATCTGCTCCCTGTTGTCAACCTCCATGTATTTCATTTTAAATATCTTCTTAAACCTTCTGTTCAGCCTCTGATTCCTTTTTTAAATATTTCACTTATACTAAAATTAGCTAATTTTGAGTTTGTTTTTCTCAGTAACAACTTCCACACCGAAGCACACCTCTTGTTAACCTCTTGATGACTCCATCTCTGAATTGAACAGTGTTGTGCTTGAGTTTTGGCCCAGCAATACTTTCTGCACATTTCTCTTTTAATCTTGACTAATTGAATCAAATTTGTGCTAAAAATCACAATTTGTTAAAACGCATCCATATTTTTGAACTGGAAGTTGTCTGGCTTTGCTTTTTGCTCGGAACGGTCAAAAAACAAATCCACAGGCATAGGATGCGTTCGGTGTCCAGAAACGTCTCTCCAGAAGTGATGCCTTTGGAACAATTGAGACCAAAAGCGACGCAAGAGAGTAAACCGAGGGGAGTCGGTTTGCTGTAGGGTTGGATAATGAAACGGTATCAGCGAGGGATTATGGCGGCTCCTTGGACGTTTGATGCCTCGTTTTTTAAACACAGCCGTGCCTCTGGTGAGGATTTGAGGAGTCCTTCGTGCTGAGACATACATGCTGCTCCGTAAATATCATGTCATATCTTCAGGGCAAGAGAGGCTTATGTCATTTATAGAGATATCTTCTGCTTAAAGAAAAAGCGGGACTTCTGACGTTGGTATGGCCCTTATGGAGCCATGATTTCAATGTTTTTTAAGTTTGTCTGCCATTACATGAAAGGAGATAGTGACGTGAGTTGTGAGGCTGGTTCTCATAGATGTCTTCAAATTCCTTAAAAAAAAAATGCATCAAAGTGTATGTAGACAAAATGATGTCCGAGTAAAAACATGGATTATTTGATTAGATTTTTTTGTACGTTTGTTCGAATTACATGTATTTGTTTAAAAAAAAGGCAAAAAAAACTGAACTCTGCAAAAAGTTTTCTTGCATTCCAGCATTTTCTTACTTGTGTTTATTGCTTCAGAAAGTGCATGCAGTCAACTGTCCTCGTGAGAGCGATACAAACACTTTGACATGCCATGCTTTTATTGAGCCCAGATCCCAAATTAGCTGTAAATGAGATGCCAATTATCGGAACAAAAGCTGGAAGCATTAAAGTAACATAAGAAGAAGAAGAAAAAAAGTTGTTTGTTCTGGCACTGTCTGCAGGCTTTTATGAAGACCTGTGCTTCACAGAGGAAGTGCTAATTTTGCCTTGTCTAACACGTCGTACTAATTCAAATAATCAGTCTTTGTTGGCTGGCTGACAGTCTTTTATAATGATAAACTAAAATGGGGAAAATAAGTGTTTCATACTTACTGCAGAATTCAGAAGCTTAGATTTTAGCATTAGCTTTCTCTGGTAGTGGTACTGAATAAATATAAGGTTAAACGCATTGGATACATTTGGAACACTTTTCATTTTGTAAAAACAATTGAAGTGTGAAACAAATGTAACACAATTCACTAAATGTATATGTCCCGACCCCATTAAGGGGCAAGGGTGTAAGAAAATGGATGGATGGATAAATGTATATGCATGAAATATTTATGTATAACAATATTCTAAAGATTTACATAAGGGATTTTATTACCAACAGAATTTTTATCTTTAACATTTGTGCAACGAGGGACTGTTTTTTTTCTAGCGGCGGACAGATTGCAGTTTTTTTGGCCGATCACTGATATTTAAAAAGGCCGACTGGCCGATTCCGATTGAATGAAAAACACAAAACAAAACAAAATAGACAAAAAAAAAACAGTTTACCTTTGAGGTATGTCAAAAATCTGACAGGTTTTTTGAGATTATAGTAGTTCACCGCAGATTAGAAAGGATTAGGAGTGTTCACTGTTTTAAAAACATAAGCAGAGTTATTATAATATGATTCTAGACAAACTGCAGAATTTCAGGTATGAGAAGTTTAAAGTACCTATGTTTTATAAGGTTTGAAGTTATAAAGTTCTTGCTGACCTTCATGATTACTGGTAACATTACAATATTCTCTGTTCTCTATTGAAGCAAATGCTTGATTTTACTAGAATTGTGAGTTTGCCGTAGGGCAGGGGTGTCCACAGTTCAAAGCCCTTTTTATATTTTGTATAAAATATAAAATATCTCTACTGATGTAGGAGATTTCATTAAAATGTTTATTATTGAGCAAGTTTAAACTAAAAATGCAAAAATTAGTTTAATATTGATTGATTTTTTTTTTTTTTTTTTTTTTTAAAAAATTTAATACCCCCCCCTTTTTAACCCCCCCTCAAAAAAGGGGGGGACACCCCCCCCTTAAAAAA